CCCTAGCTTTAAGTAATCAAAATCAAGAAAAATGTCACAAAATAAAAACCCTAACTTTAGGTAATGAAAATCTTGAAGATAACAAGAAGTTTAAAATCAAGTCAAAAATGATTTGTAAGAAAGAACAAACCATAACCTATAACTAATGAAAAAACATAAAACTCAAAATCAAGACAAATGTCACAAAAATAAAAACCCTAGTTTAAGTAATGAAAACCTTGAAGATAACAAAAAGCTCATAATCAAGACAAAGTTTTTGTAAAGAAAAAACCCTAGCGTAAGAGAGATGACCTTAAGAGTAGAGGTTAAGCAATGTTATCTCAAGACTCACAAGTTTCTTTTTAGCGGTATGTAGTAGGAGTGAAGAAGGCTGAACGGCATCAATGGAGGGGGACAAAATGAACCGTTGGATGATTGTCAAAAAGAAAAATGAAACTCTGGTTTGACCGGTTGAACCGGTTCAATATTGACCGTTGGATCATTTACAAGTCTAAAAAGAAAAATAAAAGTTAAATGGCATAGAGCCATTGATGGTGTAGACTTGTACCCTTGAGTATGGCTAGATGGCTATCAAATGGCATAGACAGTACTAGTAGACAGCATGTTATATGCATGGGTTACTATACATTTTACCTTTTTTTGGTTTGTATACTATTTTTGTACTAATTAGCTATTTTATTTATATGTCTCTAGGATTTAACATCCATTAATTTTGAACCATCAAAGCTACAAAATTAATTAGAAGATGTTTTGTTACCTGCTAAATTAATTAATATCCTGACAATTCTTCTACTTCTTCGGCCGGACCCGACCCAAATAATCTGAACCGATACGGGTCACTTGAAGCCCTTGTTCGCCCGAGTCACTGTCAGAAATTGAAACAAGATGGCAATAAAGTCGAATACATATTTTTTTTTAAACATACAGAAATTGAAAAATATGTATTCGATTTTATTGCCATCTTGTTTCAATTTCTGACAGTGACTCGGGCGACCAAGGGTTTCAAGTGACCTGTATCGGTTCAGATGATTCGGGTCGGATCTGGCTGAAGAAGTAGAAGAATTGTCAGGATATTAATTAATTTAGCAGGTAACAAAACATCTTCTAATTAATTTTGTAATTTTGATGGTTCAAAATTAATGGATGTTAAATCCTAGAGACATAAATAAAATAGCTAATTAGTACGAAAATAGTATACAAACAAAAAAAAAGGTAAAATGTATAGTAACCCATGCATATAACATGCTGTCTACTAGTACTGTCTATGCCATTTGATAGCCATCTAGTCATACTCAAGGGTACAAGTCTACACCATCAATGGCTCTATGCCATTTAACTTTTATTTTTCTTTTTAGACTTGTAAATGATCCAACGGTCAATATTGAACCGGTCAAACCAGAGTTTCATTTTTCTTTTTGACAATCATCCAACGGTTCATTTTGTCCCCCTCCATTGATGCCGTTCAGCCTTCTTCACTCTTACTACATACCGCTAAAAAGAAACTTGTGAGTCTTGAGATAACATTGCTTAACCTCTACTCTTAAGGTCATCTCTCTTAGGCTAGGGTTTTTTCTTTACAAAAACTTTATCTTGATTCTGTGCTTTTTGTTATCTTCAAGGTTTTCATTACTTAAACTAGGGTTTTTATTTTTGTGACATTTGTCTTGATTTTGAGNTTTATGTTTTTTCATTAGTTATAGGTTATGGTTTGTTCTTTCTTACAAATCATTTTTGACTTGATTTTAAGCTTCTTGTTATGTTCAAGATTTTCATTACCTAAAGTTAGGGTTTTTATTTTGTGACATTTGTCTTGATTTTGATTACTTAAAGCTAGGCTTTTGTCTTGATTTTGACATTTGTCTTGATTTTGATTACTTAAAAGCTAGAATTTTCATTAAAGCTAGGGTTTTTAGTATCGCTGCTAAAAAACCTCTTCTCTGTTCTTTTCCTTTTGTATCAAATCAGGTTTGAAGGAAACAAGTTTTGGAGCAAAGGAAAAAAGAGAGGGTAAAGTGCGATTTTGAATTTTTGTTCAGTTTGTCTTCTACGAGATTTCATTATAAGATACAATCATTCTGGGCTTCAGGGAAGGTTTTTGTTGAGATATCATCCCGTTTAATCATGAATTGCGTCTAACTGTATTTCCTTTATTGTTTGATTGCGATTAACTTCTATTTCTTTTACGGTTTGATATCTCTCTTTCTATGCATAACTTTTTGTATTTCCTTTATTGTTTGATTACAATGTAACTTCTATTTCTTTTACGGTTTGATATCTCTCTTTCTATGCATATTTTCTTAGTTTGTTGATATATATATAGATCTTTGTAATTGTAATTGAGGCAAATTCATTTCACAGCTTGTTGTCACAATGATAAAATTCTTTTTCCACAGCTTGCACAATGATGATGAGACTTGGATCTGTTGTCAAAAGGTTTCGGTCTCACCAAGGACGCCAACTTCAGAGTGCTTCTGCTGCTATTCACTCGCAAAGAAGACAATCAAGCTTCTTAGATTCAATCACTTTTTCTGTCGTGAAAGTGCTTAGCATCACGCGATTAACAGATTCGTTGCATCCTTGGCGTTTTTCTGATGTTGAAGAAGGCAACGGTTCTGGGTTTGTAATCTCAGGACGGAGGATCATCACGAACGCTCACGTTGTAACCGGTTCCACATATGTCCAAATCATGAAAATGGGATCCGGAACGAAATACAAAGCATCCATCCAAGCTTTTGGACATGGCTGCGATCTCGCGATGTTGGTAGTTGACAGTGAGGAATTTTGGAAGGACCTCAAACCATTAGATTTGCTTAGTGAGATGCCTAGGCTGTTCCAGACGGTGAGAGTGGTTGGATACCCTGAAGGTAATTAACTTTTCTTTATTTAAATGTTTTATTATACTTATAATCATAGACTAGTCTATAGATAAAGCTAAATTAGGTTCTGTTAGTATCTCAATAATCTCATGATTAATATTATTAACTAGTTCCTTCCTGATTTATAGGTGGCGACAGCATCTCCATCACCAGTGGAATCGTTTCCGGCATCATTACAACTTTTTACGGTAACAGCAAATCTCCTACCAGCCTTCCAAGTTGATGCAGCGATTAACAACGGAAACAGTGGCGGCCCCGTTTTCATTGGAAAATCAGTGGCCGGTATAGCGTTTGAAGGGTTAGATGAATGCCAAAACATTTGGTAAAGTCTGAAATTATAGTAGTGAATTGGTTTTTTTAGTTTTGACTAAAATTTTGTGATGATATGTTTTTTGTTTTATTTGTAGGTACGTTATTCCTTCTCCTCTTCTACTACTTTTCTTAAGTAGCATTGAGAGGAATAAAGGAGTAGGTAGCTTTTGCTCCCTTGGCGTGTTTACACAACCAATGGAGAACACAATGATGAGGGATTATTTTGGCATGAAAGAAAAAATGACGGGAATTGTTGTAACAAGAGTATATAAGTTAAGTAGGCGTATCAAAACATTGATGGAGAATGATGTGCTTCTAGCGGTGAATGGAAATCCCATCCAAAATGATGGAGAAGGTAGAATTTTATATTTAACCAAAATGATGTGCTCCTTATTTAATGGGTATTATGTGTATCACACATGACTAATTTTTTTTTNTTTTTTNTTGAAGTTTCAATTGGAATAAATTTGGAAGGCTTTATCGCTCTAAAGAAACCCATGGAGAATGTGTGTTTTGATGTGTTGAGAAAAGGAGTAATCTCCCAGATGACATTGAGATTGAGCAATGTGAGTTTTTCAAACTCAAAGTCAAAACTGAATTTGCTTGGATTTTTTTATGTGTGTGTCTAACTCTTTATATATGATTATTAGATGGATATATTGTAGTACTCTATTATGGGTTGGTGTATAATTCATTTTGTTTCAGAGACTTGATATATATATATATATTGAATGTTACTTCGAATGGTGTTAGGATATGTGTGATTTTCCCCAAATTATTAGGATTAGGTAACTATTATCAAGTTGTCACAAAGGACTACAAAGGACCCTCTACAAGATTAGGTAATGTGATTTTCCCCAAATTATTAGGATCAAGTTTATCAAATTGATTCACAACTTGATAATAGTTACCAAATCAAAAATACGAAATCAAAAATCCAAAAAGAAATTGATCAGAAAGCTTAATCACTCTACACTTGATAATAGTTAACTGTTGCTTGCAAAAAAAAAGTCTAAAGTTTGACATGATTAGTCCAACTGTTGAACACAGTCTACACTTGATAATAGTTTAACTGTTGTGGTAATCTCATTGACCTATAATTTACACAATCTTGAACACACTATCCTTAAAGTTAATTTCCCGAGTCGCTAAAAATATGACTTTCACCCTCAATAATCAGTTAATTCTCGAAATTTCATAAACCCCATTACCACAAAACAGCTCAAAATCGCTCTCAACTCTAAGCAAATGACACACTAACTAACTATATCAACAGTTTGACATGATCATCTTAATAATCCAGAGAGAAACTTTGTTTGATTGAAATTTCATAAACCCCAATACCTCAAATAGCTCAAAACCACTCTTAATTCTAAGCAAATGATCCAAGAGTAACCAAATGTCCAATCTTTAAAAATAACCAAACCAGAGACAGAGAGAGACAAAAGTTTTAAGTTTTTTTTTACCTGATGAATCCATGTTGATAAGTATCAGCAGCATGCAAATCCCCGACCGGGATTTTTCCATTTCACAGCTTTCCGATGCCGTCGATCAATCCTCTGCCTCCGCCAAATACCAAAACCGTTAGTTTCCAATTTTTATCTCCTTTTTGGGTTGAGGAGAAATCAGGTCGACTCTTTTCTTTGTCTTCTCTTCAAGTTTCCCCGGAGTTTCGTCGGATCTACTGCTTCGGTCACCGTTAATTTCCCCGACGCCGATTTCACCGTCTCAATCTCTGAAGCACACAGTATTCAAAGTCTCAAGTTGATGAAACATTGAAACATGTCCCGCATGGTGAAAATAATTTTTGCAGGTTAGAACAAAATTTATACTTATTTTTTACATTAATAAAAGGAACCCTTAATAAAAACTCTGCCTTTGAAATTTTTTATCTACTGAGTGGGGAGACATCAAGACACATCAGCCTTGGTTTGAAAAATAATTAAGAAATCAACATTTTTTATTTTGACATTCTTTCAACAAAAGTTAAAAAAATTTTATCAAGTTATACGAAGTCGAATGACGAC